AGAAAGATGCGTAAGTAAACGCAATCCGAATTTAGCAGCTACAAAGATGTCTACGATGCTAAAATGACTCATGAGGTATATTCAAAACTCTCGACCAGCAAACTCTCCTGAGTTAACAGTTAAAGAATCAGAATATAAGATAAACGGAGAGCATGGAGATTACGAAGGAAAAAGAGGAGACCTCAAGAGCTTTGCAGACGTGTTCAAGTTCCGGGTGAAAATTGATCTTTAGAGTAATTGTGACGACCTCAACAACACCCAAGCAAGTTCCGTTCCCCCGCTCGAAAACAGGAAGAGCAAGAGACCCACCAACATTGTACTTTTGTGCAAAACTAATATGCGGATATTCATCGCTTCTGAAGAAACGAACATCAGGTGTCCACTCAGGTAACTTCCCTAAAAAGACACGGCCAGGTAACCCAACAGATTCCTTTGAATCCTCCTCGGCTGGGAAGTTATAGGATTCGGAGACATCTCTAAAGATTTCGAGACTCTTGCAATTCGTATTGAGTGAGTAAGGCTGACATTCGGTCGTAAGAACATGCTTCCCTCCTCATTTTACAGGCACCCATATTTGAATAAGGACATCCCTATCTATTGTAGATTCCTTCAAATATCCAATAGCCTGCATTAGTCTCTCTTTCACAGATGACGAAGAACCGGATTCCGCCCTCGGTCCTATCCACCATCTATTCCTCAATTCGGTGCCTTGGACTATAAAACTTCCAGGTTGTGGCATCGATGTAGCGTTTCCAACAGCCAACCAGTTTTCCGACTGACTTCGAGAATGGTCCGGAACCATTGTTTCCGCCTCTCCTTGATGCATTTGATGCAAGCTCTGAGAAGGGTCATTCGGATTCGGACCACTAGATGTTGAAGGACCAGGCTGCATAAAGTTGAACCCATCGCTAGTCTCCAACCAGCATCCTTCAAACAAGAGTTCATCCATAAAATCGAAATCCATGGAAGCAGCAGCATCGGAGAGGTTTCCGAATGTAGAATTAGGTGCGAAACCGCCATCGTCTTCCATGTCGAGAAAATGATGTCGGAATTTGCTTCTAAACCAGAGCCTATTAGCCTATATTACATTCCAATTGCAAACACTACCATGAACCGAAACAAAGAAGCAGAGAGAAGATGAAAAACAAAAAGATGAATTTCCAGTAAAGATTCATTTTCCCCGTATCCAAACACCCAATCTGTCCCAAACGCAGAAACATTGTCAACCAAACCTAAAATAAATTATCCAACATCAGCTTCCACATGCACTAATCACAGGCTTTGAAACAAACACTAGGTTAAAGAACAAAACCCCTTTGCTTAAACACTATTTTTTGCTTACAAGTTCCAGATTTTACTATTAATAGAAAAGGAAAACAGACAAATAAAGAAGTAAAAACAAAGGAGGAGATGAAAGCCACTCACTTTACAAAGAATCTTTGAGAGAGAAAAAACCCAGTGTCAACTGTTCGATTGAAAGTTGCCTTTGTTTTACACCAAAAACAACAAAACATTCAGAGAAGCAATTTCAATCACAGTGATTTTATCATCAGTTCTTGATGGTACCTTGGGTTGTGCCTTTTATATAAACTACAAATCTCAAGCTATGCGCTTGAAGAATATTCTCTCTCGATGAAAAAATCATAGGGCCCCGCTTCAAGAGTCAAATAAGATATTCTCATTTCTAAAGATTTAAGATTCCAATGGTAAGAAATTTGATTGTAACCGAAGAAAAAGTGTTCTCTTTTTTTAATTAAAGATCCGATTTTTATCAACTCCGAATATGATCCGACCACTTGACTCTTTTATCTTCGGACAGCCTGAAAATCCAATGCTTTCCATTTTCATCATTTTTCTTTCTATAATTAGTAAACTCCAATTGGAGAAGTTACGTGATGGAATCTACAAAGGGTCAGTCGAGGTTTTTTATGCAGAAAATAGTTAAAAGCTCTTGGCAAAGTGGCTATCAAGATCTCGGGAGGCCATGGGGCATGACCGAGCTCACTCGTCCTGTTTTTGCTCGAGTTGCCGCGTCCGTTAGCATTTAACCATTGAGCTGTAATTTTTAAACAAATTAATCATATGTTAATGGTTCAAACGTGGAATCCTCCGAGGGTTCCTTGAGTCTGATTGCTTGAGGAGAACAGGCAGGGCCTGCGCCTTGTTGCTTTCTCAGGGAACAATCAACAGGTTCTACCTAAGAAAAAAAAAAATATAATACGACTCAAATCTCAAAGCTTGATGACTTCATGGAGTTGATATAAATAATGGCTCATAGACTGATGATCATAATTAAGCTGATTATGTAACATGAAAGCGATGTTATATTATATTTAATTACTTTGATTAGTCATCGAAAGTGAAAGAAAATGTTATGTTAATCCGTCCAACCAATTACTTCCACCCAGACGTTTTAGTTGCTGATTTCATTCACTAAAATATTGCACGCCCAAAGATATTATTTTTTAAATTAATCAACCATATGCCCAACTCATTAATCCAAAAAGTACACCGACTTAATTAAATTAATTCATTTAAATGATAAAATTAATTAAAATTATGCTGATTGTTAGATTCAGTTGAACTGATTTTATCCATCTAAATCATTCAATTTAATTTCCTTAAATTATGATAGATTGAATCAAGTTGATAATAAAATTTAATTAATTGTATAATTATAATTAATAAATAATATTTTAAAAAAATGGGTTTGATAGAAGGCTGAATTGGAAATTCACAAGTCAACTTAGCTACCAGTAGGATGAAATAATAATAATAATATAATTAAGGCTGTGGATTGCATAAGCAAATAGGATCAAGGGCAGATACTAGAGGGATTCATTGCTGATGTCTATCCCCTTCTTCTGTTCATTTTTTATTTATAGTTGAAATAGAGATTCTTCTGCTTGTAAGGGAAGTTGATTTTTTCCTAAAAAAATTATACTCGATTTATTATTATCTGATCACTATGAATTAAATATTATAAAGATTTATTATGAACGATTATTCCAATTTAATTTTTTTCATTCATAATGTAAAAAAGAAATTGAATATTTGTGATCTCTTTTAACAAACAAAAACCTCATTCCGTTAAACTAATTAATAAGATTTTGATTTCTTTCCTAATATTAGTAATTGATGAATATTGAAGAAAATCCCATGCAGATTATTGAGGGTCTATACACATTAATCTGTTGTGGGTTTGAGTCGGAGATGAAGATGAAGATAAAAGATTCCATCAGAATTAATAATTTGAACTTAAATAATCTTTACAAATATGTATGGGATGAGCTTAGGTCATGATGCATAGTTGTTGGAAAATTGGTTACATGGTGACAGTTGGACATTTGAAATTTTCAACTTCTTGTTTTTCTAATCTATAATTTAACTTTATCACTTGCTTTATATTTCCCAAGAGATATTAAATTAATAATTACATGGATGTAAATTATTATTTTGAAATGTTTTCATGATTATATTTTAAAAGTATTACGTGACACTGAAAAAAATATAAAACAAATTAAAAAGTTAAATATTGCGAAGAAAATAAATTATTTTTTTCTTAGGTAAATATTCTTCTTACACTTTACAAACAAAATTGAAGGATTTGCTTCAAACTTTTACATACCACTTTTACAGCCTTTGGTATCCAACGGTGTGAATCTCTAGTTCCAAGGGCAAAGTCAGAATTGGATTATAAATTTCGGGGGTCAAAATATAAACTCACCATTATACTAATTTATAATTTTACGATTTATAGGGGGGTTATTTAACAAATTTAAAGTTTTGAGGCCCTAGCGTCAAAGTTAACAAGAGTTTAAACCATGCAAATACACGTGAACCAGGACGAAATCAGACATTTTGATCGGAATCAGATAGATTTTTTTAAAAAGATCTTGGGACCTAAATTTAGAATTTGTACTAAAATGGTTTTAATGAATTATTAAAATTTTAAAGTCATAAAATTGGAAATTTTGCATTTAATTAAAGTACCCAAAGGACTGAATTGAATGATTAAATTTTTTCGAAGAGCTTAAGCTAGAATTATACAGATAAACCAAAAGAGGGCCAAGCCCCCCACTAGCTCACCCAGCCTAGTCAGCCCTACTCGGTCAAGCCCAAGCTTGGTTTTAGATTTCGGTCACCAGATTAATCTGGTGTGGATTTGTCCTGAAAGCGTCGGTTTCTTGAACCCCGGGTTGATAACTTGTACCACATTCGCTCTCACAAACGGCAACGGTACCATTAGCCAACATCAACAAGGATGCTGCAATAACATGATCCTCCTCAACCATCAAGGCCAACGAGTTATTCGTCTGCTTGATGGGGGAAACCGGACAACGATAATTCGGACGGGGGTTGATTTCACGCCATTGTCGCTCGGGGTGACACCGCATGTGTCCAAAGAGTGCTTTCCATGACCAGAATTTCTTCCCACACTCGCTACACGGCGGAGTGATCTTCGGTGCAGCAGGGTCGGGTTTTTTGGTATATTTAGGCCTGGAAACAGGTATGAAATTGACCAGTGTCGATCTTAATCAATTTGGTCCGTTTCTTTCTGTGATCCGGATCATATTTCACTGCATTACCCGACGAAGAAGACAGGTCCAGGATGGTACATTGGGTAGTAGAAGGGGATCGAAACCCGGATCATCGGAACCAACGTTTCATTCATTCTCGAGATAAAAACAGAAGGGGATGAAGCAAGAAGAAACAATGAAGAATTGAAAGAGAAAAAAAATGTAAAACGTGGTGGAAGTATTGCTTTTGTAGAAAAATGTCGTGTCGGCAGTTACAAAAAGATTAAGAGGGACAAGTTAGTTTTCGAAATTGGGCGGGTTCTTTTCAGTTAGATGTTGGAAACATGGGGTGGTTACATTGGCCTTAGCCAATTACCCTAGATTATGCTTCAGTGCATTTACAAAATAATATCACTAAATATATTTTTTTATTCTTCAAAATAATATATATCGAAAGGAAGAAAAAAAGGACAGATGGGCTTAGCAACAGCAACTCAAAGGATCATTTCAGCACCATATGTGACAATACAGTTTTGAAGTCGTACGATCCTTAAGCTTTTGCCTAGGAAAATACATGGAATTTCGAGTTTAAAAACTACACTAAATTATCACATTAGCCTGCGAATGCTGAGAAACTAGCGAGGAACGAAAATCTGAACAAGTCTGCACGTTTGTTCGACGGCTTTATATTACAACTTACAACATTCGATACCTTGGAGATCGCCTTTTACTTGTATGAATGGTCCGATTGATTGGAGGGTTGTGCTTTATCCATCTTCATATTTTTTCCCAGGACATTTAAAATGGCAGCACGCTGCAACTCTTTCGCTGAGACGACAGGGAAGGAAAAAATGTTGAGAGTTAAGTTCCTGCTGTACCATAAAACGAAATATTAATGCCACTAATTTCATGCCTTAAACTATTTTCCGGATAAATTACCAGCACTCCGATGATGGTATGTTATTATTTATAAACATGGTAAATCTATACATGCACACACAACTCACGGATAAATTACCTTCCTCCAGTGATAGTTGAATTGATCTTTTTTCGAGTTCAACAGCCTGTTTACTTTGTTCAACTGCAGAAAGCGATCGAAGCACTAACAACACAACATCAAACAACTTTAAAAGTACTGTAAAATTTTTAAGATCAGAGTCGATATGGTAAGAATGATTCACTAAGCATATAGACATACTCTGAGCGTAATCCTCTAAATCGGACTGGTCCAACTTTTTCAATAGCATCTGCAATTGATAATACCGTTCTTCAAAGTGAAGCTTCATAGTTCCCTTTGGACTATCCAAACCAGGGGTAGCAGAAACGACTGTATGCTGATTAGATTCTAAAGGTGCTAACCCAGTAGCAGGCTTTCCGGGAGGTAAAGGCATGGAAGGTTTGTAAGACGAACTTGTTGAGGATGCCATCTGGAGTGGTGCAAATGCCTGAAAACAAGAAACTTTAGGCTCCTTATTTTGGTATTTTGTTGGTTAATTCCCTCTACTTGACTAGCATGCCTAAGCCGTTGGCAATTATTCATGCTGCTACAGTTGAAAGCACAGTTCTTCCCTAGTTCAGCTTCAGGTTTTCTACGGACATAGACAAGATGCCCGTTTATAGAACTAGTGCTTGGAGATTGGCAGTGCGAAGGACTCACAGGGCATTCGGGGGATGGTCTCTTAGTTCCAGAAACCTTAGCAGGATCAGTAGCCAGTCCTCTGTCTTTAGAAATCGAAGAGCTTCCCGTAGAGTAAGGCACAGTTCTATGTTCGTTCTGCAGATCTCTCAATGGCGTCTTCTTTGCACCAACTAGAGGTTGTTTATCACATGTGGCCGAGTTATTTTCAGGATTCCGCAGTCCGTATTCACTGATTTTTGAGTCTATCGTTTGTTGACCCATCTGGTGAATTTTTCTTCTGGTAACAAGAAGACCACGATCATGATAACATAAACCAAATTATAACGAATGATGCAGTTCTTAAACAAAAGAAGGAAAAAGAGATTGTTGGAGTCTTGGAGGTATAATTTTCCAACCCGAATGACCAAATATAGCTTTTTCATGGAATCTAATGCATACTGCTTTCCATAATTGACCAGCAAGAGCCCAGACCACTAAATATATTAACATTAGCCTTTGACTTAAACCGAAAATAGCTGTTAAATGAAACTAAGCACCCTAAAGCTGTAATCATTACCCAATAGTAGATCACAATAGAAATTTTATCGGATTCATTAAAGCCAAGCAAAAATGGCGTAAATACTAGCAACAAGAGACACATATTTGTCAGCCATTAATTCACACACAAATAGGTGGTAATAGTTAATACGACTACCACACAAGACCACCAATGCTCTAAATTGGCCAAAAAGAAAATCCTAAGAACCAAATTCTTAAGAGACCGAAACTTGTTTATCACAAACAACATTTACCTCTTGAACCTTCTCTTCATGTTTGGGATAGTGTATGATAACAATAATACACAATAGCCATTTACAACATTACGAAAGAAGAAAGTTTATTGATGATTTTCACTAGCTAAAGAGTTTTCATGCAGGGAGTTTGACCTTAGGAAGAAAATGTCCCAAGGGAAGTGAATAGTCAACAGTTTTGGGATCTCTTCCGGTTTGTGGTAATGGACGAAGATCATGGCAATTCAATACCAAGGATCAAGGAAAGCGACCTACATCCCATAAAATGTAGGCTTCTGGTTGTGTTTCCTCCCTGATTAGTGCTAATAAAACCCATATAATTTTCTTTACAGATTAAACATATTGTTTCCGATTGGGAAGATAACGAAAAGCAAATTATTGGAACAAAAGGCATGCTAACAATATCAAGGTACCACCCTCACCCTTGTCAAATTTGATATAGTTTTTTCTGATCATTACCAACCACCAAAGGCGGATAAGTTATTGCCAGGGTCGTAGACTATAACGAAATTAATGTTTTAAAAAAGGAAACCCATATCATTTGAGAATAACATTTATATTTTAAAATATTTACATTTACAAATAAATCCTCATGTTTGGAATCAAAACACACACACACACACACAGACAGAGAGAGAGAGTTCAATTCTAAACAAATCAAACTATAGATTTCCAATAAGCTCCATAACATTCTGCAAATTCATTGAACAGTATCCAGGTATACTAAGAAATAGGGAATGCAATCTGACCAGATACATACACTCTCCACGCATTTTAAGTTTAATTATCTTTCGTTGGAACAAGATACAAATTTGGTATCACAAGATAAAATAAATTAGGTTAATTTCACTAGAAATCAAACAAATAACATTTAACTCAATAACGTCAGAATTAAAGGTCATACCAATTTAAAACAAAAGTTAACAGAAGGAAATAAAAACTAAAACTGCAAAAAACATGATAAATTGCAGAAAATACAAAGACCCAGTGTCTAGGGTGCATCATTTAACACAAATTAATCAACTTTTCGGGACATGGTTTCTGCAAAATGCATTCAAGGAACGATGCCCATTGAGTCAGAATGCCGAAATCAGCAGTAAAAATCGAAATATTCATGAAAGGTATCAAAGTTGATCATATTCAGAACACTCAAAATTACCTAAAAATTTAAAAAAAAATAAGGAAAATGAACCGCAGCTAAAGAAAAATAGAAAGAAAATATTGAATCAAAACAAAGGCAGACAATACATTTACCTTAGCTCATTTAAAACCCGGAGAAGTAAAGAAAAATAAGAGCGAAAGATAGGTATCAGGGAACTTTTGCTAACGAAGTAGTTTTATTTACCGTTTAGACCTTTCGAACCTTTTAATTTTTCGTTTCCAAGGGAATATTACATTGTGGCACCTAATCTATGGATATTTATATATTTCCCCTAACATTAAGAAAACTATATAATCTCGCTATTGCCTTTCTTGGGGGGTGTGGCATATTGGATATAACAGATTGGGTAGCAAGAACTTTACAATTCCTTACATAAGTATTCATGTTTGAGTCATGTGAATCAGATAAAAGATAATAGCACAGATTTTTATCACAGCTTAAGAATTCAATATGGTTTGATTTTCGATATAATCGATAGTACTTATTTATCTGCCTGATATCACAATTCAAGAATTCAATACGGACGTTTCTAGCAGTAGCAGGTAGTGCTCTAATGTTCTTTTCATGTATAGTTGAAACCGGTTTCTCGTCTTCTCGGAGAACCGGAGAAACAATGAATATGATAACAGCTCGGACGGGTTCTCAATCCTTGCCGATAAGGAAGTAGAGGGTAGCTCCGTGTTTTCAAAGATACTTAAACACGCTTAGTCTCCAAGGGCCGAGACACCTTAAGGGATGCAACAACGGAGAACGTTAGGCAGCTACTAATTTTAGTGTAAAACTGAAGACATACATATTCACCACCACCAATGGATACATCCTTCATACTTTCTTTGACGGTCGGCCTCTATGTCGGGTTGCGCCAGGCGTATTTTTGTCGGCCTCTCACTGTCCCTAACCTCATCAGGATCCAGATCAGGGGATGCATAGTCTCCAAGGGCTGAAACACTTCCGGGAATGCGATTGCCCATTAAAACATATAGGTGAACGTTTGTGGCAGCATAAAATTGAACTAAACGGGATAAAGTCCATGATTGACTGAAATTGAGAACCACAGCCATGTAAGGATGCCTGAAAATCAGGAAGAAAGCCAAGATGATAAGAAATTTCTTCAGATGGATCATTTACAACATCTGATGAATGTTTTAAACAAGCAGATGGATCATATCTTGTGATTTTTGCAGCTTGTTGCTCAGCAGGCGAAGAACTAAACTACTTTCTTCCAACTTAGAGAAGGGCTTCCTACTGATAACTCCTAATAAAACTGCCATTTGTTACTCCTTTTTCTTGGATTTGAGAAACTAATTGATATGAGCCAATCATTTTTAAGTTTTTTTATATTATTTATTAACCTAATATTTGGAATTTGTGTTTAATCTCATTCATCATCTTTTGTACACCAAGCATGATCTTGAATTTATTTTTTGAAAGAGATTTATTTATTGAATTTAGTAAGGATGTGTTTTTCTCAAATAGGTGTCAAAATTATTTTTGACTCATTCAGGTGTCTAACGTTACAAACGTTACCTATTTAGGTGTCCAGGTCGTCAGCGGTGTTAATTTCCCCTTCAATGGCACGTGCCACAATATGGTAAATTTAAAATTATATTTATGTAGACACCCGTTTTTGACCGGGTTTAAAATATATATATATATATATATATATATATAATTCTTATTATTAATTACTATTATTATTTATATATATATTGGGTTAGTTATCTACTTGGAATCCCATGAAATCCGGTGACTTTGAGAGAAATGGCTTTGTGGGTCCTTAAAAAGTGGATTTTAGGTTGCCACTTACTGGATAAGGATCACGACACCATAAAAAAAGAGGGCAGTTGAGGTTGTTATCATCTTTCTCCATGATTCTCGACATGCTAGGCTTGTTATATAAACTAGTTGTAAAAATGCAAAGGGGGGGAGGTTCCCGAAACAAACCCCAGTTGAGAGCTTTGGAAGAGAGAGTTTAATGGCTGCAGCAATTACAAATTTCTTAACTAAGCCACCATGCACCGATCTTCATTTCATCCCAAAAGCCACTTGTATTAGCTCCCATAGTTCCTTTCTGCCACCTTTTGTTTCAAAGTCGAGACCATTTTCAACAAATCACTCGAAAGAAGCAAACCCCCACGATTCATCACCAAGGCTACAACTACACCAGGGACAAGGAAAGCTCCGAGCGATGAGAGCGTAAATCAGGTCCACAGCATAGAAGAGTTTGATGAAGCTCTTAAAACGGCTAAAAACAAGCTCGTGGTGGTCGAGTTCGCGGCCAGCCACAATTACAACAGCAGTGAGATATACTCATTCATGGTGGAACTCAGTCGGACCTGCAACAACGTTGAAATTCATCCTGGTGATAGGCGACGAATCGGACAAGACGAGAGAGCTTTGCATAAGAGAAGAAATAAAGAAAAAAACACACTTTAGCTTTTACAAAAGCATGCAGAAAAGCTACGAAGAGGAGCTATGGGGGATGTGGAGGGTCCCACGTGTAAATCCTTTATTAATGTGCTGTCACCACTTGCACAAAGTGGTATTCTTTTTATTTCCAAGTTTTTTTTTTAATTTTTTATTCATTTCACATTTAATAATTTGTTTTGGATTTATTTATTTATTATTTTATCTAACATTTTTTTATTTTTTGCGAGAATTTCAACTAATCAAAGGTAAGTAATTTGAATCGAATGCTTTAAATTTTAATTTTACTTTCAATTTTTCGCAATAAAGACAACCGATAAATTAATTGGTACCGAAAGGGCGGTTCAACAGTGCTAATCCTTCCTTAACCGTAACCGACTCCCGAACCCGACACATTTCTGGTACAACGCAGATCAGGTAAGATGGTGTCCGACCCACCTAAGTTCGTTTTAAAGTGGTCGGTGGCGACTCTAACCATATTTCCCAAGTCGAAGCCCAATTCCGGGCCCAACGGAAAGACGGTTGCGACAGCTTGGCGACTCCGCTGGGGACAGGTAAGTGAGTCAGGCCGAAATTAATTTTCGGTTGTCTTTTTATGCGAAAATGGTAAATTTAAATTTAAATTTATTTATTCGATTCCAGTTATTTACCTTTGATTATTTTTCAAATAAATAGTTGTACTAACATTTTCTAATGATTTCAGATTTTTCAAAGTTTTCATCTCAAGCTCTATACCCGAGCTCCAAACCCTATTTAAGTGGGGGTGAAAGCGATGCCTTCGTGTGAATTTATTCACCGTGCGGGCCTAGCAAGTAGCCTTCGGGATTCATATACCTTATGTCTTCGTGTGGATTTATTCACCGTGTGGGCATAAGGGAATGTGTCCTCTCGAGTTTAACTTAGTCCACACAAGCCTGTGATGGGCTTAGGACTAAGGGTCTGGCAAGCCCAAGGGGGCACCGGTAAGGAGAACTCGAGTACCTTTTTAGAACCTAAACCAGGAGAGTGCAGGGAATTAGAGCCCACCCCAAGACCTCATTCCAAACCCTAGGATGCTTTGTTTCTTGCTTTATTTTCTGTTCAAAGCATGCAAACTAGACAAATATGCGGTTAGGATTTGTTTGAAATTAGCATGCGGATAGAGATCATGTCCGGGTAGGAATTAAAGCATGCGGAGTAGATATCATGTGGTGCAGGATTTTTCATTTTTTTATTGTTTTGATTTACCTCACTAACCCTTTTATTTTTTTTTTGTTCTCTTTTATTTTGTGTTCATCGTTTGCATCATTCAAAAGATGTGTTGATCCACCAAAAAAATGTGTTTGTTGAACGTAAATAATCTGCATTAACGGACAAAGGGGTTATAATACAAAGAGATAAAAAACTCAGAAATACAACCATGGTCAAAGAATACTCAAAGGCAAAGTTGCAGGGGCAATACGAGGAAAAGGTCACTGACCCGGTCGCTCCTTTCGAAAACTACAAGAACAAGATGGTGAAACCCTAGCTGAGCTGGATGCCATTGCTGACGAATTCAAGAAGCAAGTTTCGGATAGTTTCTCTCGATGGAGGGCTCCAATGACACTTTCGTTAGAAACAAGCTCGATAGAGAGTGAAAGTCGGAGATGCAGTCCTTCAAGACCTTTTTTTGGGGCAAGCAGGTCATTATTTGCACATTTTAGCCAAAGGAGCCGGAACGGTTTGACAGGGTATTCAACCGGTGACAGACGAAGGCAGAAGACTAGTCAACCTATCAGAAGCTGTTCGGGGTCTATGCCTTCAAGATATTTTTGTCTCTTAAGACGTAACACTTTTGTCCCAATAAGGATTATTTATAATAACAGATACATTTTTTGGATCAATGCCTCGAACATTTCATGCATCATGCATTCCGACATATTGTGCATATTGTTATTTTTCTTTACATTCGCATTATTTTTTCCCTTTTTTATTACATTCACATGTCTCATAAAAAATGAGAACATTTCGATCCTATGACATATAAGGAGCTTTACCAACAGTTGTTTGACGACACGTGGTGTCACCATATCCAGAAAAATCCATGAAGCCTCGTACCCCAAGTAGTATGATGAGAACACTCATTGCGAAAATCATAGCGGAGTCCCAGGGCGCACTATCGAGAATTACTCCACAATCAAGAGAATCATACAGAAAATACGTACAAGAATCGGATCGACTTCAACAACTTGGGGCATCCAAGTGGAGAAGATCATTTCATCATTTGAGGCGTTCTGTTTGAATCTGTTTTTTCATTATTTCTCAAGTTTTTGTAAGGACTTTTAAATAAATTTATGTTGCTTTAATGATGGCGAGCAATGAATCACATTTGCAAACTTGCAATTCTTTGAATATCATCTGAATTAAGAAACTCTATAAATGGTTCAAAGTTACAGATCTTTGACAAGTAACATAATCTGAAATAAGGACTTTAACCTTACCCAGAATATACACTCAACACCGTACCATGCTCTTGCAATTAACCAATGTAACCTTTTCCTTTCATAAGGTGCGAACAACATGGGGCATCATTTGCTATGACCATTACTATGCTTTTTATTTAGGACGTTCAATGACGATGATGATCTTTACAAATGAAAGAGTCGAGTAGGTGAATCCAGTTTAGGTCAATTGTTTGAAAATGAACTCTAAAGATGAGATTCCTTGACTTTCAAAAACACCTAGACTATGACAGGTTCTTCTTGACAATCTTAAGAAATTAAATCCGTAAAAACTGAG